CCGGGCCCCCGGCTCCCGGGGCGTGGGCTCTGGGCGGGAAGGAGCGCGGGGCGGCGGGGACCGGGAGTTAGGTGCCGGGTTAGGGTTGGCGGGGAAAGGGCCCAAGCTCCACCCCGGCTCCCCGACCCCTCCTCGGCCGTGGGCCCCCTCCCCGCCCGCGGCCCCACCCTTCCCGGAGTTTTGCTCGGATTCTGCCGGAATATGAATGAGCCTGAGTGCGCGGTCTCCTTGACACCGGCGGCCGCAGCATCACTTTACTCCGGGATCCCGGAGCCGCCGGCAGCTCCCAGGCGCTGGAACCTGAGAGCAGTAACTTCACTCTCACGGTCTCGTGGAGTGGCAGTAGAGTCTGAAAAGGGCTGTTTGCTTCTGTAGGTTTTCTAGAATGCCTGACTTCTTCTAGATAACTTCATTGAACCTAAGAAGTTTTTCAGTATTTTCATAAATATCGCCACACCTGCATTGAAGTACAGTCTGTGATGAAAAACCCACCCTTTTGCTGGGGGAGTTAGCTCATAGTTTCCTAAGTTATTGGACTGCTGTTGGTTGGCAAAATCTTTTAAAATTAAAATTTGGGGAAAAGAGCGCTTATGTATTAGTGTCAGGATTTTAAATGGTTGACCTCGGAATTATGCCTATTTTCTAAGAACTGAATTGTTTTGGTATAGTTCTTTAGGTCTCGAGCCGTGGCTGATAATCACAGGAGTCAGGCTGCCTGTGTTAAAAATCTGATTGCATTTATTTTTTCTCTAAAGTTTATTTTTAACATTATATGGTAGAATTGACTTGTTAGGCGGTGTGCAGTTCAGTGAATTTTAGATTCATGTAACCACCATAACAATCAGAATACAGAACCGTTCTATCTCCAAAAAACTTGTTCTGTGCTTTTATATCCTTCCCCTTACCGCTGGCAATTACTGCTCTTTTCCAGAAGGTCATACAAATGGGATCATACAACATGTTAACGTTCTTTCACTCAGTATAATGCCTTTGAGATTCCTCCCAGTTGTTGGATCAACAGTTTATTCTTTTTTAATGCTGAGTAGTAGTCCGTTGGGTGGATATGCCACAGTTTGTTTACACATCCACACACTGAAGGACATTGGGATTGTTTCCAGCTTTTGGTGATTATGACTATAGCTGCTATGAGCATTTCGTATACAGGTTTTTTTGTGTTTAAAAAAGTTTTCCTTTCTCTAGGGTGTTGCTTAGAGTAGGATTATAGGGTCATATAAAGTACCTTTAACGTTATAAGAAATTGTCACACTGATTTCCGGAGTGGCTGTATCATTTTTCATTCTCACTAGCAACGTCGGAGTTCCGGTTGCTCCACCTTCTCTCTAGCACTTGGTATTGTCCTGTTTTTAAATTTAGCTGTTCTAATAAGCATGTAGTGATGTCTCACAGTCTGAATGTGTCTTTAACTAATGGCTGAAGATGTTGAGTATCTTTTCATCTGCTTACTTAGTATGTATAATCTTGGGTGGGTTATCTGGCCGAGAGTTTTGCCTATTTTTAAGTTAGATTGTTTGCTTTCTTATGTTGAGTTTTGATGATTCTGTGTGTGTTCTCGATACAAGTTATTTGTTCGACATGTTTTGCAAATATTTTTCTTGCAGTCTATAGCTGTCATTGTTTTAACTGTCTTTCACAAAGCAAATGTTTTTAATTTTGATGAAATGTAATTTATCCATTTTTCCTTTTGTACATATTTTGGGATCATGTCTAAGAACTTTGCCTAATCCCAGATCAAGAAGATTTTCATCTACAAAAAATAATAGTTTTACATTTAGATCCAAGATCCATTTTGAGTTATTTGTACAAGGTGTGAGGTTTAAGTGAAAGATAACTTTTTTTGCATATGAATGTCCAGTTGTTCTATCACCAAACAAAACCTGTCTTTTCTCCATTTAATAGTTTATGCACCTTTGTCAAAAATCAATTGGCTTTATTTGTGTGGGTCTATTTTCAGGCCCTGTGTTCTGTTCCATTGATTTATGTATCTTTCTCTATGCCAGTATCACACATTCTTGATTAAATGTAACTTTATAGTGTCTTAGAATTGGGTAGTATGATTTCCTCCAATTTTGTTCTTTTTCAAAATTGTTTTAGCTGTGCTAGTTCTTTTGCCTTTCCATATGAAGTTTAGAAACGGGTTGTCTCTAACTGCAAAATGTCCTGCTGGTACTTTGAAGTTCTGTTAAACCATAGATCAATTTGAGGATAATTGCTGTTTTTACCTTACTGAATCTTCCAATCTATGTGCATGATGAATCTTTCCATATATTTCGGTCTTTGTTTCATTAGTGTTTTGTAGTTTTCAGCATACAGATCCTATACATGTTGTGTTAGATTTATACCAAGAAAGTATTTTTTTTTTGGAACTGTTATTATAATTGTCATTTAAAGTTTTTTTTGTTTCAAATTGTACATTATTGGCATATTAGAAATACAGTGGAGTGTTCTGTGTTGTTCTTGTATCCTGTGCCCTTGCTAAATTCACTTTTTAGTCACAGGATTGTTTGACTCCTTGGAGTTTTCTACACAGTCATGTCATCTGTGAATAGAGACAGTCTTTTCTCTAATTTGTAAGTATTTTATGTATTTTTGTTGCCTGTTGCCTGCCTAGGATTTAGTGTATGATACGTAGGAGTACTGAGAGTGGACATCCTACTTTGGTCTCAATCTAAGCGGTAAAAAGCAAAAGTATGGTGTTAGCTGTAGGTTTTTTTTTTTTAATAGATGCCCTTTATCAGGTTGAAAAAACCTTCTTTAGTTTCTAGTTTGCTGAGAATTTTTCTCACAAATGGATGTTGAATTGTGTTAAATAGTCCCTCTGCATCAGTTGATATGGCGATGTGATTTTTTTATGTATTGCTGGGTTCAGTTTATTAATATTTTGTGGAGGATTTTTGCATCTGTGTTCCTGAGGAGATGTATGTCTAGTTTTCTTTTCTGTACTGTCTTTGTATGGTGCCTGTATCAAGATAACGCTGGTTTTCCAAAGTTAAGGAATGTTTCCTCTTCTGTATTCTGGGAGAGATTGTGTATCATTCTTGAAAAGTTTGGTAGAATTCTCCAGTGAAATCACCTGAGCCTGTAGGTTTCCTTTTGAGTTTTTATATTATGAATTCAATTTTTTTAAACTATTGTTTCAATCTCATTGATTTCTGCTTTTTTATTATTTCCATCCTTTTGCTTGCTTTGGGTTTCCTTTGCTCTTTTTCTAGCTTCTTGAGGTGGGAGCTTAGATTATTGATCTGAGACTTTTCTTCTGTTCTAAGGTAAGCATTTAGTGTGTAAATTTTCCCTCTCAGCTGTACATTAGCTATGTCCCACACATTTTGACATATTGTATTTTTATTTTCATTCAATTCAATTATTTTTAAAATTTCTCTTGAGCTTCTTCTTTGGCCCGTGGGTTGATGAGACTTCTGTGTGTTTAATTTCCAAATGTTTGGAGATTTTCCTGTTATCTCTCTGTTACTGATTTCTAGTTTGATTTCATGGTGGCCCCATTATTTTAAGCTTTTTGAGGTTTCTTTAATGGCATAAAGTGTTCTGTCTTGGTATATGTTCAGTGGGTGCTTGAAGTATCTTCTGCTGTTGTGTGGACAGTTCTATAAACATTGATTAGATTCTAATAGTTTAATATTTTTAGAATTTCATTTTGTTTTATTGCAGTATTTTTGAGTGTCTCTCTGTGTAATCATTTAATTCTTTCTGAAGTGGAGACCTAGAAACTATTCTTTAACAAGTGCTCCTAGGTGATTCTTATAATCATGCAAGTTTGTGAAGTACTAGGGACAATTACTAAGACTCCATTAGGGACAAAGAAAGGAACATTCTTCACATTTCAGCATGTTTTGTGTAGTGGTTGTATAAATGGATTTTCAGTTATGGTTGTTGGAATATAATAGCTAAGTAGGCAGGAACTGAACTAGTAATTTTAAGAAGTATGAAGATATTGGCTTTCTGTTCTTTTCAGTCTAAGTTGCAAACAGTACACATTCTATTACTTTCATTCTATGAGTAACTATAACTAGTCTGAAACTGAAGAAAAAGTGGGTGGTATAAGATTGTAGAGGATTCTTTGCAACCTGACACTAAGGCACTGTAACCAAGAGCCCAGTGGTGTCACGTGGTTGTGTGGTGTTATACAAAACCCTTCTTGAGGCTGCTTTTCTAGGGATGTTAATTATTATCTGTGAGGATGAAAAGCCATTTCCTTAGATTTTGTATTTGCTGCCATTTTGGTGGTAACTACCTGTGGAGGATTTATCATGGTATATAAAACTACCATTTTTTGAATGTTCAGCTTTCACTGTGCTAAGTGCTTTATCTGTATCATTGATCAGCAGTCCTTTGAGGTAAGTATCCTCAGGAGACTGAAGCTTAAAGGTTAAACAGTAACTTCACGAAGAGCACAGAACTGGTAAATGACAACTTTAAATCAGGCCTTGACTCTGATGCCCGTAGTCTCTGTGAAAGGTAGAACTATGTAATCTCGGTTCACTATGCTGTTGATAAGGATTCAAAAGTAAATTGTCCCTCTTTCCAAAGACTTTACATTATCTGAACAGGGTGAGGAATGGGTCTCCCTCATGGAAATAAATTCTTGCAATGCAATATAATTACTTCTTGATAAAACAATCATAGCTTATTTGATTTTTTAATAATTTTTATGTCATGAAAAATCATTTCATTTTAAACCACAGATTTAAGAGAGAAGATCTGATCACCTGGAATTAAAGTTGGTACAGAAACCTCTTCCATTCCAAGCATGTTGGAGGAAGATATGGAAGTGGCCATCAAGGTGGTGGTCGTAGGGAATGGAGCGGTTGGAAAATCAAGTATGATTCAGCGGTATTGCAAAGGCATTTTTACAAAAGACTACAAGAAAACCATTGGAGTTGATTTTTTGGAGCGACAAATCCAGTATGTACTTGGCCATTTTATCCTCTCAGTTTTGATTTGTGAGCGGTGACCAAAAGTGTCATCAGAATCGTGTATAAGTGCACCTGATTTTCCAGCGGCAGTAGTTTTCACATCCCTTTGTGTACCTTCACCCTTCTTCCTCCCTCCTCCCCCATCTCTTCCCTTCCTGTCTCATCTTTTCTTCTTTTTTTCCTACTCCTCTCCCCCTTCTCTTTTTCTGTCTTGTATCTGTTTTATATTTATTGGTGGCACCTTGGGCGCTTCTTAAACACTGATGCTTGATTGTACTGTGATTTCTGTCCACTATTTTATTTGGAAGGAAAGTTACCTACCTCAGAATAGTTTTCATCTCTTATGTTATGGGATCTGTTTGTTTAGAATGGCTCTTCTCTTTTAAAACCAGGCAAGACTATATAGAACTTAGAGAATTAATAATTTGTTTTTACTTTAAAGAAATAAGAGAAAACAAATCTGAGAGGATTATGTACTCCTATGAAAAGGAAATCAATTGAATTCTAAAACACATCAAAGTAATACTTTTTGTCGTCCGGTCCTGAGAACTTCTAAGGATATTTTAAATTGTAGGAGGCAAACTAAAATGTATTACAGAGAAATGAATAACATTAAATAAATCTGACATAACTATCCCAGGCATTAGCATCAAAGATTGCGTTCATTGCTTTCAAGATTGTTGAATTTCTAATCTGTATTTTACTACTCTCTTTTTAAAAATTTTTTTTATTGTTTCCTTTCTTAGATATTTTAAGAGGATTCATTTTAGGTCATGATGATGTTTATTTTTTGTACTTGTTATGTGAACCAAATTAATATTTTAAGTATACAGTTGACCCTCATTGTTCGTGATTTCCCCATTTTAAAAAAATTCTTATTTTTTATTGAAGTGTAGTCAGTTTACAATGTTAGTTTCAGGTGTACAACAAAGCAATTCAGTTTTATATATATATATACATACATACGTACATACATACATACATACTATGTGAATAGTCATGGGGCATGGGGCAAATTCAAGTTTTGCGTTTTGGAAACTTCTAGAATTTTTTTTCCCAAATATTCTCTGTCTGCCGTTGGTTGAATCCGCAGGTGTGGAGCCCTGGGATCCTGGTCTCAGCCACCACTGTCTGTGGCTATGGAAGGAAGAAACACGGCAGGAAAATCCCAATCATGTAAAACTATAGCTTTAGGGAGTGTCTCACCTGTAACTCTCACTGTCGGTCAAGGTATCAGCGTTGAAAAGCACTCAGATTTTTTTCAGGGTGAAACCAACAATGTAGTTTTAATGCCTCAAGATTTGACAAATAAAGACCCTTCCTTGTCATGTGAAGTTAATTCATCTCATTTCAGAGTTAACGATGAAGACATTAGGCTGATGCTGTGGGATACGGCGGGTCAGGAGGAATTTGATGCCATAACGAAGGCCTACTACCGAGGTATCGTGGGCATTTGTAGTCTGTTCCAACATGTTCTTTTGGCTGAACAAAGACCTTTGCTTTTTTGGCTTCTGCACAAGGGTTGCCCTTAAAGAATGTTTAATTCCAAACCATTTTTTAGATCCCCCACGCCATTATTCTTCTAAAGATCTTGCCGAGTGGTAAACGTATACTTTGTATTGTAGCCCGTTTGTCTGTGTTAGCATCAGGGGACTCACGTGGGCCCTCCCGGACCTAGTACGGCAGACCCAGGGGAGTGCCTTCTCGGATTCCAGGGAAGTGAGCGGAAATTAACATAAGGAGAAGTGAAGCCCCTGCAGACAGGGTAGAATTTGGCTATGTCAAGTTCAAGTGCAGGGACCGAGCCTTTTCAGGGCTCTGGGAGTTGAGAGAATCAGGAAGACCACGATGATAGGACTGGAGACCCTAAACTGGGGTGAAATTCCTCTTTTTATGTACCTGGCTTTGCCTCTAAATTCTCAGCATGAAATATATGGGGGTTGTGTGGGGGAGGGAAAAAGTGAGTTGGCTTATTTCTTTTTAAGCTTTTAACAATTTGATATGGCAGTATTCCTTTTCAACTAATATGGTTATTTTTAAGTTTTTCTGTGTCTGTAACTTAAAAAGGCAAAACTGAGTCTACAGTTATCTCAAAGTTTGACTTAAAAAAAGGCAAATCAAAATAAAGTTTGACTTAAAGAAAAAGAAAACTGGTCAAATGTGAAAAATGATTTGATTTGAATATAAATAAAATGGAGAAAGCATGAGAACTGTACAATTCAGTAAATTATTTGGGTCCCTAATTTAAAGAAGACCAGGTAGCTAAAAATATTTTATTTTCCGCTGTAGTTGAGGTATGAGTGCTTTCTCCAATCTTTGCCATAAGACTGTTCAACATTACTATCTTAATTTTTTTAACTTGGCTCATCCATTCGGTTGCATACTTCTTGTTTGACTTGTTAGGCATGCACAGATCATACTGTTTCTCTTTCATATGTTTGTTTTGCCAGAAACTAAAAAGAGAGCCCATAATTATTAGTATTTATGTCTTAATTTGCTGTGGGTGATGTTTAAATTTCTTTCCACTTTGTTTCATTTGGACTAAAAGACTTCAAAGAGCTTTGATGCTCCTGTACTTAATGTTCTAACTCAAAACAATCGTATATGTATAAATAGATCTGTTAAAAGCTTTTCTTAAAATGTAACCTTCTTAGCCAACTGTGTCAAAGGGGCACAGAGAATGGGGTGCTGAGATGAGTCTTAGGTGCCAGCTCTTCTCCCTTGCTTACCAATTAGGGGACAGACGGTGTGATGTTACGTGAATTGAGAAGCAGCACATTGAACATGCTTCTGTGCTTTCCTTTGGGTTCTATCTTGATGCTCTTGGTTGCTGACAGCAGAAAAGCAGTTTCAAACTGACTCACTGTTTGTTGACTTGCTAGTGCGAGCAGAGTGGCTTTCAGGCGTGGTTTGTTCTGACTGTAACCTCCCTGATCCTGTGGGCTTGCCATCCTCCCCACGTGGGGTTCCTCCTCCTGCTGATCTTCCTCTTGGTTGCAAGATCGCCACCACCAACAGTGGAAGCCATGTGCTTTGTTCACTTCCTTGGGGACACAGAGTTACTTCCCACAAAGGTGGATCTAAAGTCCTGAGCTTTTATCTGATTAGACCACCCTTGACCAGATTACAGTAAGTAGTTAGAGGAGTGTGATTACCCTAATTGGCTTGGTGCACTGGGGCCTCCCCCGAGTGGAGGGTAGGGTTATTGGCCTAAACCATAGGGTACAATGGGGGAGAGGTGTTCTCAGGGAGAGGGGAGAACTGGATGGCAGCTAGACAACCAGGTAATATCTGCAGATACAGATCAGATGATGATGTAGTTAAATGTAAATAAAGGCTAGGAGGAAAAGATAAGGGTGGGAAGAATGAATTAAGATAAGGATTTAGTGTGTCTCTTATAAAATTATGACATACTGATTTATGTCCTAGAAATGTATTACTCAAGATGCATAAAAATTGTAAAAGTTATTATAGTTCATTTAAAAGACCTATTATATAAAGACCATTGCTTAAAGTTATTGTATTCTTAGAGTGCTGGCTTAATTGTATAGTGAGACATGTTGAAAGGTGACGTCCTTGTAAATAGGGTAGAACAGAGCGCAGATCATATTAGGAGGCCTTTCGGATCCCAGATGACTCTTAAACTCTTGAGAAAGCCCACCCTAGGCAGTAGGAACCACACTTAGCACAGAAAGTTATATACAGCATAAAATGGACTTTTGTTATAGTTTTTTTTTACTGTGACTTGGTTATGTGGGAAAACATGCTCCTGACCAGTGGTGTATGGAAGCGAGCTTATAGCCTTGAGGCCTGTTATGTGAGATTATGCGCATAAGCGGAAGAAGACTTTTTTTAACAAAATAACTTTCACAAAACAAAATTTTTAGAAATAAAATAGCTCTGGAAAATAAGCTATTTATAAATTATAATTATATCTATACTTCAGTAATAATTATAATTATAAAATGCAAGAATTAGGGAACAACCGAATTAGACTATGCAGGTCTCAGGTTTGTTTTGAAATTATCTGAGCTTGGAATCTGGGATAGATTGGTTCATTGAATAATTTGTGTGCTTTAGATTATATAGAGTGTCAAAAAGGGAAAGGGATAGGATTTAAATCCACAGTAATATCTACAATAGTATTTTTAAAGCCTTGCATTTCTGATTGGCCTTTGCTGGTATTCTCCAGAGCAGTGTTTCTTAAACTTTAATGTGCACATGAATCCTCTGGGAGCTTGTTAAAAATGCAGACTTAATTTAGTAGATCTGTGCATGGCTCTGAAATTCTGCATTTCTCTGACCTCCCGGGTGACCTGGGTGCTGCTGGTTCTCAGAACCAGCCTAGAGACCAGACTGTCTTGTAAGCTGTTCCAGTGATGGAGGACAGTCACCCTCTGCACCTTATGTGTTGTGGTGGGTAGTTTCTGAATTGCATTAAAATATAGTCACCTTTTGGGAATGATGTTATTAATTGGGAATAAATACTTGCTGTTGGTGATCCTATCGCTGACAACAAATTTATTCAGATCTCTGTATTTCTGACGTGTGGGTAAGTGGTAGTCTGTTAACTATTAGCAGGGACCCATTTGTGGGTGGCGTACCGCTGTCTGTGATGATGGGGAACTTTCCATGGTGCGATTCTCAGGGTAGGTAGCGCTGAAAGAAGATAGAACAGTAGGAAAATAAAGGTCTTTGTGAATTATATGAACAGGAAACACAACTGCCTTTGAATGTCAGCAGAATATCAACAACAGAGAAATGAAAGCATTAACTCTCCTGAAGATGGCTGGTACCGACGCAGAGCTGGAGGTCCAGGGACGAAGCGACTGGGAGCAGTGTAGGGCCCATGTCGAATGAAGAGGTGGTTGGTGCGTCGAATAGGCACAGCTCATGAAGGTCCCAAAGTGCAGCTTCTGTGTGTGGGCCTCCCCACCCCTTTATGTTTTATTAGGCAGTAGAAGGAGGGGAGGTCCTTTCTTGATGGTACCTTCAGCTCCCGTCTGTTCTGGTCACTCTGAAGCAATTTTCCTCAACCAGCTCAGTGATTTCCAGTCACGAACATAATCTCAATTTGGCATTCGAACAGCCAGTCCTGGGGCGGCAGTCAACACTCCAAATGTAATTTGGCATTAAACCTCTCCTGCCCGGGGTTTGTGCAGGTCAGTCCTTGTGGTCTGTGAGGGGAGTGGATTCCCATTGTTTGTTTTTGTTCTCTGATTGCTGTGGCTAGGACTTCCAAACCTGTTGAATAAAAGTGGTGAGAGTGGGTATCCTTGTCTTGTTCCTGATTTTAGAGGAAATGCTTTCAGCTTTTCACCATTAAGTATGATGTTAGCTGTGGGTTTGTCATATATGGCCTTTATTATGTTGAGATATGTTCCCTCTGTGCCCACCTTCTGGAGAGTTTTTATCAAATGGATGTTGAATTTTATCAAAAGCTTTTTCTGCATCTATTCAGATGATCACATGGTTTTTATTCTTCAATTTGTTAATATGGTGTATCACTGATTAATTTGAGGATCTTGAAAAACCCTTGCATCGCTGGGATAAATCCCACTTGATCGTGGTGTATGATCCTTTTAATGTATTGTTGGAGTCAATTTGCTAGGATTTTGAGGATTTTTGCATCTGTATTCATAAGTGATATTGGCCTGTAATTTTCTTTTTTTTGTGATATCTTTGCCTGGTTTTGGTATCAGGGTGACGGTGGCCTCATATAATGAGTTCATAAGTGTTCCTTCCTCTGCAACTTTTTGAATAGTTTCAGAAGGATAGGTGTTAACTCTTCTTTAAATGTGTTTGGTAGAATTCACCTGTGAGACCATCTGGTCCTGGACTTTGGTTTTTTGGGAGTTTTTAAATTACTGATTCAATATCAGTACTGGTAATTGGTCTCTTCGTATTTTCTGTTTCTTCCTGATTCAGTCTTGGCAAATTGTACTATTCTAAGAAACTGTCTGTTTCTTCTGTGTTGTTCTTTTTGTTGGCATATAGTTGCTCATAGTAGCCTCTTATGATCCCTTGTATTTCTGTGTGTTGGATGTTGTGACTTCTCCTTTTTCACTTCTGATCTTATTAATTTGGGGATTCTCCCTTTTTTTCTTGATGAATCTGACTAAAAGTTTATCAATTTTGTTTCTCTTTTCAGAGAACCAGCTTTTAGTTTCATTGATTTTTTTCTATTGTTTTAGTCTCTATTTCTTTTATTTCTGCTCTAATCTGTATGATTTCTTTCCTTCTGCTAACTTTGGGTTTTGTTTGTTCTTCTTTCTCTAGTTGCTTTAGGTGTAAGGTTAAGTTGTTTGAGATTTTTCTTGTTTCCTGAGGTAAACTTGTATTGCTATAAACTTCCCTCTTAGCTTTGGCTGCGTCCCAGAGATTTTGGGTCATTGTGTTTATGTTTTCATTTGTCTCAAAGTATCTTTTTATTTCGTCTT